CAGGCAAGGTGGAGGGAACTCATGCAAGCACTGGGTTGGAGGCAGTGGAGGGGAGTTCTCTCAGGTCCCGAGCCTGGAACATCTCCATTGTCCTTCTGCACGGGGCTCCAGCTGGCAGGATTATTGCTACTCTCCTTTCTTTCTCCCCCATCATCTGCTTCTTTATAAAAAAAATTTTTTCTTTATTTATTTTAGATAGGCAGGAAGGGAGAGGGAGAGAGAGATAGAAACATTGATGAGGAAGAACATTGATTGACTGCCTCCTGCATGTCCCCCACTGGGGACCAGGCCCACCACCTGGGCATGTGCCCTGACCGGGAATCGAACCAGCGACCTCTTGGTGCAGGGGTCGATGCTCAACCCATGAGCCACACCGGCCGGGCACCATCAGCTGCTTCTTTAGAAAGCGAATGTCTTCCTCCAATTCATGTCTTTTCAGACCCACCAAACTAAGCTTGGAGACCATCTTTCCATAGCCAAAACCTCACGCATGTATTCCCTTACGCCAAAGAACACCTCTCTCCTCCGCGTCTTCTAACCCTTCCGAGCGTCGCAAGGCCCCGGGAGAAACCCTGCACTTTTTCTTTGTCCCATGGGCAGGGTTAACTTTGTCGGCAGGGTTGCTGCTCTGCACCCCACCTCCCCACTCCTCCCCAACAACCCCACACATCTCAGAAGGCAAAATGAGTTCAGTGAAGCTATTTTTTCTTCACTGTAAAAAAGTCTTTTCTCAAATAAAGCAAGAGTGTACACAGGTAGAGAAAGACACTTGCAGAACCATCCCTGGGGATCACACTGAAATGATCCGACAGTTTTGACTGCAGGTGTCTCTGGTCCGCATGGCTGTCCTAGGTATTACCCGGAGTGTTCTCGAACTCAAGGCTTCAGAAAGACAACAAAAGAATGAATGGACTTGGAGATGCCGAAGATGAACTTCTGATTCCTCCTCCTGAGTGAGAACTTCCCTGAGCAGGGCTCTGGAAATTTCCACGTCTCTGGTCCCACCTGGATTTCTCTTTGGTTCTGTTCCAGTTCAGCTAGTTCTGCTTGTGTGTCCCACCCGGAGTGTCCCGCTGTGTTCCGCCCTGTGCAGCTGCTCCCCCTACTGGGGACTCTGATTCCACGGCAGGGTCGGCTGGTCTCTGCACCTGTACCTGCTCAACGCGGCAGAGATGAAGTGTTTTGCTCAGTGTGCTCTGCAAAAAGACCAGTTGTTTATAACTTTGAAACTGATTTCCCCCCTCTTTGTTCCTTTTTTGAAAACCATAAGTAAATACAACCTATTCACCCCCCTCCCCAGTGGATTACTTTGGGGTCAGCTGGGCAGAAGAGACCTCGTGACACACAGGTAAGGAAGATGCTACCCAGGGACACTTCACATGGGGCGGGGCAGTGGAACATCGTGGTCCGCAGTTAACTTCAAAAAGCCATATGGGCCCGGCCGGTGTGGCTCAGTGGTTGAGTGTCGACCTGTGCACCAAGAGGTCACCGGTTTGATTCCTTGTCAGGACACATGTCCAGGTTGTGGGCTGGATTACCCGGTAAAGGCATGCAAGAGGCAGCCAATTGGTGTTCTCTCTCATCAATGTTTCCATCTCTGTCTCCCTCTCCCTGCCTCTCTCTCTCTAAAATCAATAAAGAAAAAGAGAAAAAAAAGCCAAACGTTTGAAAGAAGTCACAATATTTGTTCAGTAAAACATTTAGGCTTTATGAAGGGCTCTCGGTGAGCATGCGGAGGAGGAACATATTCCTTTGTTCTTGGGATTTTACCTTTCAGGACTTGTGACACGGAGATCTTTTGTTTACGGGGCTGCTTTCCTCTTCACAAGGCGGGAAACGGGCACTGCTCCCGCTGCTTGGTTGCCCCCGGTGGATGCTCTCTGTAGGTATTATTTCCTGGGGCCACAGCCACGATGCCATCTTAGTTCTGGTTGTCAGTTTGACAAGAGCCACCTTGTCCTCTGCATGGGACCCTCACGAACACACACAGTTTGGGTTCTGTCTGCCAACGGCACAGGCCTCAGATGAAGCTCCCACTGGCAGGGAAGGCCCTCTTTTTAAATTTTTTTTTAAAAATTAATTTTAGAGAGGAAGGGAGAGGGAGAGAGAGAGAGAGAGATAGAAACATCGAAGAGAGAGATCATTGATTGGCCGCCTCTTGCATGGCCTCCACTGGGGATTTGGCCCACAACCTGGGCATGTGCCCTGACTGGGAATTGAACCGGTGACCTCTTGATGCGTGGGTCGACACTGAGCCACACCAGCCGGGGGAGGGCCCTCTTTTTGTAGCCTCTGGCGTGGAGACACTTCAGTACACGTCACCTCCAGAGCAATGGTCAGACACTGCGTACTAACTTGTGCTCGAAAATAAGCCTGCACGGCCCTGGCCGGGTTGTTCAGTGGTTGGAGCATCGGCCTGCAGTCCAGAGAGATCCAGGTTTGGTTCCCGCTAAGGGCATGTACCTCGGTTGCAGTTTGTCCCTGGCCCTGGTTGGGTTGTGCGGGTGGCGGCCACTCAACATGTCCCTTTCAGGTCGATGTTTCTCTCTCTTCCTCCTTCCCACTCTGTCTGAACAAAAAGTGGAAAAATGTCCTCGGGTGAGGATGAAATAAAAAAGAAAATAAGCCTGCAAGGATGATGCCCTCCCAAGGGTGGTGTCCACTTACGACGCCCCACCTCAGGTCTCCCCTGAACGACAGCCACCTGCCGTGGGTATGCTCACCGTCATGCCCAGCCTTTCCTCCTCTGATCAAGCCACCTTGCAGGGGGCACTCGGAGTGCAGACCCGGGAGGGCAAGCCAGTAGCAGCCAGCAGGCTCTGCACTCTGGAGATGGCTGTTGAGGTGGGTGTCTAGGTGCCCCCTCGTGGCTCTGAAACCTCAGAGCACCCCAGCCTGTGGGGGAATCCCGAGGGCGGGCTGCCTTGTCCTCGGGGCACTTAGGCCCAGTCGAGGTCTCAGGCACCTAGGAGACTGGGCAGCTCAGAGAGGAAGCGGGAAGAGTCAAAGACACAGGGTCTCCCTCACATCTGAACTAAACCTTCTCTGTCTAGGTCATACATTCATCTATGGGCATATGAACCGCCAAACAGGAGAACCACGTCATGTACCAGTTGTTTATGTTATTTCACCCTTATCAAGAAGGAAATGATACTTCTGATTTTGATTTTGAACTATTTGGTTAGAGGGTTGAAAAGAGAGTTCTCAACTTTCCCCAGACGGACTGCACGGGATGAATTCAGAGGGGAAAAGGGGCAAAATACGTCTCAAGGGGACAGTGCAATAGCAACACTCTGTCACCTGAGGGCAGTGTAGACCACTGTAGAACCCGGACAGGGGACAGTACCTAGAGAAGCAGACGTTAAAATGCAAATTTAAAATGAAGTTTCACCTGCTAAAATTAGAATAAAAAATAACTGGGTTGCAGAGTTTGTACTCCTGATGAGAACTGACGCCTACTGTTGAAGACAGTTCCTGTAGGAGTTCCTGCCGTCAGGTCAATGATAGGGGTTGGTCTCTGGGGTGGGGGTGAGGGACAGGCACGGGGCCCTTGAAGGGCCCAGGGCAGCGGCTATTCACCAGCTGGGCCATGAGCATGTTCAGACTTTAATCATGTATATGGCTTTAGCAGAGACCGCGTTCTGGCTGAGGTCAGCCTGCAAGGCAGAGAGAGGGTGCTCGGGAAAGTGGCTGGGCTCCCAGCCAGCTGACTTCCAGTAAGAGCCCTTGTGCAAGAAGGAGGGGGCCCGCTTGGGGTTCATCTGGTGTTTACTGGGGCAAAATCCCTCTGTCTGACCTTTCTGTTGCCCAAGCGCCGCTGCTGCTTCCGTGGCTCAGCCAGGGTCCCGGGAAGGAACTGGGTCACATCAGGACTCCCTCCTCTGGGGAAGAGGGAGGAGCTAGGGACAAGCTAGGGACAAGAGTTCCTCCTTATTCTGAATCTTTTCACTTTTGTTTTCTGTTGAACCATTCAGCTCCACAGCCAAAGCTAGTTTCTCGCCAGGGTATGGCTGAGTCTAGGGAGGAGAGGAGCGGAGCCGGGGAGCCTGGCCTCAGTCCGCCGACCGACCGCCTTTGCCGCTGTGTCTTTGTACAGTCAGAACCTGCAGAGTAAGACGCTCACATTGTGGCCTGAAAAGTTTCTGATATTTGTCGTGATACTAGTTACCTACAAGATCTCACTCTCCACTGAGAGTCCCCCCGCCCCCGATTGCTTTCTGTACTTTTCTTCTGGATAAGTTTTTAGAAGAGGAATTGCTCGGCCATGTGGCATTCTGTTTACTCTTTTGAGGAGCTCCCAAGCTGTTCCCACAGTGGTTATACCACTTTACATGACTGCCGGCAATGCATGAGAATTCCAATTTCTCCACATCATCACCAATACTTGTAACAACAAAAAAAATGTTTTTATCGATTTTAGAGAGAGAGGAAAGGAGAGGGAGAGAGAGAAACATCAATCTGCTGCCTCCTGCATGCTCCCTACTGGGGATTGAGTTTGCATTTCAGGCAAATGCCTGGGACATGTGCCCCGACCGGGAATCCAACCAGTGACCTCTCAGTGCAAGGGACAACACGCAACCAACTGAGCCACACCAGCTAGGGCAATACTTGTTACTGTGTGTGTGTGCATGCTTTAAAAAATTAAAAAAAATTTATTATAGCTACCCTAGTAGGAATGAAGCGATAGCTCATTGTGGTTTTGGTTTACATTTCCATATGAGTAATAATATTGAACATCTTTTCACGTGTTTACTGGCCATTTGCATATCTTCTTTGGAAAAGCGTCTACTCAAATCCTTTGCCCATTTTTAAATTGAGTTGTTTGTGGATTTTTTTGGTTTTTAATCCTCACCTGAGGACATTTTTTCTTTTTTTCTTTTTTCTTTATTCAGCTAGAGTGGGAGGGAGAGAGAGGAAGTGAGAAAGAGAGAGAGAGAGAAGCATTTATGTGAAAGGGACACATTGAGTGGCTGCCTCCTGCACAACCGGAACCAGGGCTGGGGACAAAGTGCAACCAAGGTACGTGCCCTTGACTGGAATTGAACCACGGGCTGACGCTCTAACCACTGAGCAAAATTGGCCAGGGCTGTTTGTGATTTTGGTTGTTACTGAGTTTGGGGAGTTCTTTGTAGATGCTGAATACTAATCACTTATCAGATATATGAATTGCAAGTATTTCCTCCCATTATGTAAGTTGTCTTTTCACCTTCTTGATACTGTCTTTTGGTGTACAAAGTTTTAAATTTTGATGAAGTTGAATAATTTTTCTTTTGCTCTCTGTGCTTTTGGTGTCACATCTATGAAATCACTGCCAACTCTAGTGTCATGAAGATTTCCCCCAATGTTTTCTTCTAAAGGTTTTATGTTTTTGCATCTTCATGTTATATCTGTGATCAATTTTGAGTTAATTTTTGTATATGGGGTAAGGTATGAGTCCAGATTTATTCTTTTGCATGTGGATATTTAGTTTCTATAACATCAATGGTTGAAAAGACTCTCCTTTTCTCATAGAATGGGCTTGGCATCCTTATTGAAAATCTACTGACTATATACAGGAGGGTTTATTTGTGGTCTTTCTATTCTATTTCATTGATCCATATGTCTGTCCTTTGGTCAGTACAATACTGTTTTAAATACTGTAGTTTTGTCTACATTTCAAAGTTGGGAAGTGTAAGTCCTCTAACTTTCTTATCATTTTAAAAAATATTTTTGATTTTTTTTTGAGAGAGAGAGAGAGAGAGAGAGAGAGAGAGAGAGAGAGAGAGACTGATCTGCTGCCCACAACCTGGGCATGTGCCTTGACTGGGAATTGAACTGGCAATCTTTCGATGCATGAGATAATGCCCAACCAACTAAACCACGCTGGCCAGGGCCAATTCTCTTTTTTTTCAAAATTGTTTTGGCTACTCAGGGTCCCTTATAAATTTTAGGATCAGCTTTTCCATTTTTGTGAAAAAAGCTGTTGGAATTTTGATAAGGATTGTGATGATTCCAATTGAGTGCTTTGAGTAGTAGTGACATCTTAACAAGGTACGTCATCTAATCCCTGAACATGGGATATCTTTCTATTTACTTAGGCCTTCTTTAATTTCTTTCAGTGATGTTTTGTAGTTTTCAGCATGCAAATCTTTCAGGTTTTTTGTCTGATTTACTCCTAAGTATTTACTTCTTTTAGATGCTACTGTAGATTGAATTGCTTTCTTCTTCTTATTTTTTAATTGTTGAAGACTATCTCTGTGCTGGGGATCAGCTGGAGGAGGAAGCTTAAGTTTTTTTCAGAGCTTTTCTGAGCTTGCATCTGTCTCTGGGCATGTGCAGTGGCTCTCTAAATTCCCCTGCATGTGTGGTTCATATTGAATGTCCTAATCTTACATGGCTGGCTTCCAAAAGGGAAGAAAGGGAAAAAAGAAAAACAAAACAAACCAACAAAAACAAAGAAACCCAGGTACAGCTTCCTTTTGTTCTCTTTCTTTCTTTCTCTCTCTCTCTCTTTCTCCTTCCTTCCTTCCTTCCTTCCTTCCTTCCTTCCTTCCTTCCTTCCTTCCTTCCTTCCTTCCTTCCTTCCTTCCTTCCTTCCTTCCTTCCTGATTTATCTTTATTGTTGAATGTATTGCAGATGTTCCTCATTTTTCCTCCATTGACCCCCTCCTCCCCACTCCCTGCCCCCATCCTGCCTTTTCCCACACTTGTCTGTGTCCATTGGTTATGCATATAAGTTCTTCGGTTTATTTCTTCCCACCCCCAACCCCCTTCCCTTTGAGGTTTGTGACTCTAGCAACCATTTGTACTTCTTAATCCTTCACCTTTTTCACCCATTCCCCCAACCCCCTTCCCATCTGGCAACCAACAAAATGTTCTCTGTATCTAAGAGAATGTTTCTGTTCTGCTTCTTCATTTTGTTTTTAGATTCAATTGTTGATAGGTATATATTCATTGCCATTTTGTTTGTTCATATTTTTTATCTTTCTCTTCAAGAAGACCCTTCAACATTTTATATAATAATGGCTTGGTGGTTTTTCTTTAGCTTTTCCTTGTCTGGGAAACTTTTTATATGGCCATCGATTCTAAAGGACAGCTTTGCAGGATAGAGTAATCTTGGTTGTAGGTTCTTGGTTTTCATCACTCTGAATATTTCTTGCCACTCCCTTCTGGCCTGCAAAGTTTCTTTTTTGAGAAATCCGCTGACAGTGTTACGGGAACTCCCTTGTAGGTAACCAACTTCTTTTCTCTTGCTGCTTTTAAGATTATCTCTTTGTCTTGAACCTTTTGCATTTGGATGATGATGTATCTTGGTGTGGGCCTCTTGGGGTTCATTTTGTTTGGGACTTTCTGTGCTTCCTGGACTTGTATGTCTGTTTCCTTCACCAAGTTAGGAAAGTTTTCTGCCATTATTGTTTCAAATAGGTTTTCGATTTCTTGTTCTCTCTCTTCTCCTTCTGGCACCCTCAAGATGTGAATGTTGGCACTCTTGAAGTTGTCCCAGAGGCTACTTACACTATCCTCATTTTTTTTGGATTCTTTTTGCGGTTCTGATTGGGTGGTTTTTGCTTCCTTATATTCCAAATCAATGGTTTGCTTCTTGGCTTTACCTACTCTACTATTGAATCTGTGTAATTATTCTTTATTTCAGTTAGTGCCTCCTTCATTTCTGAATGGTCCTTTTTTATGCTCTTGAGGCCCTCACTAAGTTCACTGAGCATTCTTATAAGCAGTATTTTGAACTCAGCATCTGTTAGGTTGCTCATCTCCATTTCACTTAGTTCTTTTCCTGGAGTTTTGTTCTGTTCCTTCATTTGGGACCTGTTTCTTTGTCTCCTCATTTTGGCTGCCTCCCTGTGTTTGTTTCTATGTATTACTTAATAAGAGATATGGTCCTAGCTGAGACCAGATGTTGCTTGTTTGAAAGAATTTAGGAAAACCTGAAGCAGGATCCAAGACAGGCCAATCCTATGGTTAAGCAACTGGCACAACTTGGGTGGGCCTGAAAGTTGGGTGGGGCGGGGCCTCAGGGAGTGGGCAGGGCGGGGCTACCAGTGTGAGCCAGGTTGCTGGAGTCCCAGATATGGCGACTGTCTGCCGCCCCAGGGAAGGGCTCATCAACGGAGCAAAGGCCTCTGACAGCACCTCTGACCCGGAGAAAGCCCCCTCTCCAGCCCTGTCTCCAATGCCAAACAGCTCAGTTCTTCCCTGTATGTCTCTGGTGCCCCTCGAGCTGCCTCCCCTCCGAGCTTAGAGGGAGAGAGTCCGATAAGTCCGTGCGCGGGCCCTTTAAGGAGCTGCCTGGGGCTCCAGCCGCCTCGGCCTCCCTGAGCCTCAGTTCCCGCTGGTTTTTCCAGCCAAAAGTGATGGGGATTCTCTTCCTGGCACTGGAACCCTGAGCGGGGCACCTGGTGTGGGATGGGGACCCTCAGACCTCAGAGAGGACCCTCCCAGCCGAGGTGTCCTCCTGATTTTTATCCGCCACACGTGGGTGTGGGACCAGCCCGTCCCCTCCGCCCTCCTACCGGTCTCGATGTGGCTGCTGCTTTAATTCCGTTGTTGTAGGACTTCTTCAGCTCGAGTTCAGGCGGTTTTGAATGATGGTTGTTCTGTAGTTTAGTTGTAACTTTGATGTGGTTGTGGGAGGACGCGATACCGCGTTTACCTACCCGCCATCTTGACCGGAAGTCTCCCAAGTGCAGCTTCTTTAAATGCCTGGGAAACCACCTCAGCCAGTGCGGGTTGCAACCACGGCTGCCTATCTCTGTGCCTGTACCTCAGAGATGAAAAGCAGTGACCAGCAATCAGAAAACAGAACGCTGATATTTGGGGAATGAGTACTTTATTGTCCACCCTGGCACCAAAAAGCCATATCAGGAATTTGAACACAGTTGCCTGTCACTGGGCTGGGGGGTAGGGGATACATAACCACTACAGCACTGAAGGCTGAAATTAGCCAAAATGAACCACACGTTACCAGTCAAACTTCCTGCTCGAATTTGAAAGCATTTGATCGGAGTTCCAAAATCGTGACTTCAGACACTTGCTGCTAGTGCAGTTGTTACCTAAGTGGAGAGACGGAGTCCTGGTGCTTCCTACTTGGCCATCTTCCATGACATCGCCTCCCATTATTAAGCCTTGGATGTCTAACACCTCTTGATTTCCACTTGCCCGTTGAGCCTGTGCTCTGGCACACCAATGGCGAATCAGTGTTGGACCTGTCTCGGCAGGTGGTTTCACTTATAACTGGCACCTCTCTGAGCAAAGATTATGGCTATGTATCTCATTTGGTTTTTGCGGGGACTCAAGGGGGCCCCATAATATCCCCTTGTATGTGCTTGATTTCAGAGCCACTTAAGAGAGAGAGAAGAAATCAGGTAGCTGGAGAGCATAACATCTGTCTTATAACGAAAGAAAACTGGATTGTGAACATAGGTATGTGACAACAGTGGGGTTCCTCATACTGGGCACAATAATTAGGGACCCTCCCCAGACAGGCAAGACCAAGGCCAGCTCTTACAATAACTATACATGAAGCATCAGTCTAGATGTCTCCTCTGTTCCCCCAGGCTGGCTTCAGAGAGATAGGCAAGAAGATACCATGCCTCTTAGCTGGCTTTTCTTTTCCAGAAACATCTAAGAACTTACCTGTCATGGGGAAGAGGACAATATAGGGAGAAACCAGGCGTGTCACACTGATTGATGTCCCCCATCCTGGAAAAAAACATCAGGGGCTGGGAATAAATGTTCCTACCCGAAGTTCTCAGGCACCTACTCTTTGTTTCCAATTCTCATCTATAGGAGAAAGCCCAGGCTGTCTGTTCTTCAACCAGAGTGGTCACTGCTGCCACCACTGCCCCTTGCCTTAGAATTCAGGCCCAGGAAGGCTTCTTCTCTGAGTGATAAACTGCTGGTCTCAGCTCACACTCACCCCTCAATACAGAATCCAGAACTGAAACCATTTTTTGTGAAGTTTGCAGAGATGCTTACCTCTGAGGTGCTTTCCCAGTTTCAAATCTTCCTCTGCTTCTGAGTGTTTCAGGCTTTGAATAATCAACTCTGTCTCTGTGGGCTCAAAGTGTCATACGCCAGTCCCTTCCCACAGCCCCACAGCCGTGAAAAGATCTTGTTATGTTACATATGTCCTTCAAGATGATCCAGCAGGACTTTTTAAAGTTCAGCCTCCTTCTTAGGTTAGTTCTGCCCTCGTCTTCTCTATGTAGGTCTGACGATCAGAGCACCTTTTTTCTTCCCCACTCTTCATGTCTTGGCCACTAGACCAATACCTAGCCTCTACACCGATCTACTATTTATTTATTTATTTATTTATTTATTTATTTATTTGTTATTATTTTTAAATCCTTACCTGAGGATATTTTTCTATTTATCTTCCGATAGAGTGGGATGGAGAGAGAGGAAGAAAGAGAGAGAAACATTGATGTGAGAGGGACACATCGACTGCTTGCCTCCCATATGACCCCGACCAGGGCTGAGGATGAACCGTAACCGAGAAACGTGCCCTTGGCCGGGATCAAACCTGTGACTCACTGGACGATGGACTGACACTCTACTGCTGAGCTAAACCAGCAGGGTGCTTTTTTATTTCTTTTAAAGCCTTTTATCTTCACATACTGAGTTCTGAAGATTAAAAAAAAATGAGTGTCCATCAGTAGATGAGTGGGTAACAAAGCTGTGGTACATTTATACAATGGAGTACTATGCAGCAGTAAGAAAGAAAGATCTCTTATCCTTTGAGGTGACATGGAGGGATCTGGAGAGCATTATGCTAAGCGAAATAAGCCAATCAGAGAAAGACAAATACTGATCTCACTTATTTGTGGAATATAATGAACAAAATAAACTGATGGACAAAATAGAACCAGAGACATAGAAAGGAGTATGGTTCAGACTGACAGACCTCAGAGGAGGAAGGTGGAGGCGGGGATGGATGAGATAAACCAAAGAACTTATAAGCATGTGTGCATAACCAATGGACACAGACAATAATGCTGGGGTGGGGGGGTGGGGAGCAGAATGGGGAGGAGGGTGTCTGGGGGGGGGTAAAGGAGAAACATTTGTAACAAAAATAAATTAATAAAAATTGGAAAATTAGTTGACAACTTATTTTGTTCATTATATTCCACAAATAAGTGAGATCATATGATTGTCTTTCTCTGATTGGCTTATTTCACTCAGCATAATAGTCCCTAGGTCCTTCCATGTCATCTCAAAGTATAAGAGATCTTTCTTTCTTACAGCTGCATAGTACTCCATTGTGTAAATGTACCACAGCTTTTTTATCCACTCATCTACTAATAGACACTTGGGCTGTTTCCAGAGTTTAGCTATTGTAAAGAGTGCTGCTATGAACATAGGGGTGCATATATTCTTCCTGATTGGTGTTTCAGGCTTCTTAGGATATAGTCCAAGAAGTGGGATCACTGGGTCAAATGGCAATTCCATTTTTAATTTTTTGAGGAAACACCATATTGTTTTCCATAGTGGCTGCCTCAGCCTGTATTCCCACCAGCAGTGTACTAGAGTCCCCTTTACTCCACATCCTCACCAGCACTTGTTGTTTGATGATTTGTTGATGGCGGCCATTCTGGCAGGTGTGAGGCGATATCTCATAGTTGTTTTAATTTGCATTTCTCTGATGATTAGAGATTTTTTTTTCATATGTCTCCTGGCCACTTGTATGTCCTGTTTGAAGAAGTGTCTATTCAGGTCCTCTGCCCATTTTTAATTGCATTGTTTGTCTTCCTTTTGTTGAGTTGTATGAGTACTCTATATATTTTGGATATTAACCCCTTTTCTAGTATCCCAGAGAGTGAGTTCCCTTTTCATCTTGATGCTGGTTTCTTTGGCCTTGCAGAAGCTTTTAAGTTAGATGTAGTCCCATTTATTTGTTTTTTCCTTTGTTTCTCTTGCCCTAGGTGATGTATTAGTGAAAATCCCACTACATATGATATATGAGATTTTTTTGCCTACATTTTCTTCTAGGACATTTATAGTTTCACAGCTTACATTTCAGCCTTTTATTCATTTTGAGTTTATTCTTGTGCATGGTGTAAGTTGGTGGTGGAGTTTCATTTCTTTGCATATAGCTGTCTAACATTTATTTTCTCATTCTATTTTTTTCCGTGAGGATGTTCCCAATTGTCCAGCACAAGGAGACAATTTCCCACGAAACCCTTCTGAATCACTTCATGAAAAATAAGGTGGAGATAGCAAATGCAATAACGAAGCCATTTCCTTTCCTCGAGAGCCTCAGAGACCGCTCCTTCATCACGGAGAAAATGTACAATGTAAGAGAAGTGGGTAGAGCCCCCCATGCTACCCTTGCCTCACACTGACTTATGTTTGGCATCCTGGATTCAAAATTGAGACCTTTTTGCTTTTTATAGCAAGACTCCTTTAAGTTAGTTAAGCATCCTGTAAGGTTGAGGGTGACAGGGTAAGAAGATATCACTAAGGAGACTTATATTCTTTTTAAAAAATATGTTTTTATTGATTTTTTTAGAGAGAAAGGAAGGGAGAGAGAGATAGAAACATCAATGTGAGAGAGAAACATCTATTGGCTGCCTCCTGCACGCTCCCTGCTGGGAACTGGCCTGCAACCCAGGCATGTGCCCTGACTGGGAATCGAACTGGGACCTCTCAATCCACTGAGCCACAGCAGCTGGGCAAAGACACTCATCTTCTAATGAAGTCCTTGTCTTCTGTGGGACATGCCGGAGTGTGTGTGGGGTGGAGGGAAATGGTGATACGGCAGATGCATAGCCGTTTACACCACATAACAAAATGAAACAAAATTAAAATCATTAAAAGACTTGGGACAATATTTCATTATAACATCCACTTATCTCAAATGAAATTCTCAGGGAATTTGCGCCATTACCAATCAAATTTCAGCCTGGTTGCCGTCTCCTCCAAAGTGTTTAAATTTTATTAGGCTGTTCGGGAGTCTTGGGATTCAAGCAGATTTGATTAGTGCGTCCTCTCGGGACACAGAGAAGGAAGCCGTCTCTTTGCCGTTCTTGGTGCTATTTCCAGCAAGGGAGGACCTGCTTCCTGAAGCCTTATCTGGACTTCGCACACCCAGGGCGGCTGTGCAAAGATCCGTTCTCGAAACAGCCTAGGCAGAATGGACGTGCCCAAGTCAAGGGGAAGGCTCCATTTGTGATGTTAAGCAATTGATCAAATATCTTAGAAGTTCTAAAATATGACATGAAAATGGCCATCTGCAGCGAAAAAGCGGACCGGATATTCTATGCAATTACTCCCTCGATGTCTGTTTAACTTTAAAATGGTTACTTTATATAGTTATATATTTTTTTCCATTGCACTATTTTCAAGGACTCTAAAGAAGCCTGCCAACAGTTGGTCCCTGTAGGGAGAGTGGTCTATCATATTCTCTGCCACCTTGAGAAGACATTCCATCAGTCACTTCTACAAACGCTGTTCAGCAGGGTTCATCTGAAGGAGTACCCTGATTTAATTCAGATTCAGAAAAGCTTCAGAAATGGTAATTTCCTCTCTCCCTTTTGGGGTCCAAGTCTACTTTTTTCCTTTCCTTTTTTTTAATTTTTGTGTGTGTTAACCTTCACCTGAGGATATTTTTTCCCTGTGATTTCTAGAGAGAGTGGAAGGGAGGAATGGAGGGAAGGAGAGAGAGAGAGAAACATTGATGTGAGAGAGACACATCAATTGGTTGTCTCTGCATGACCCTGACCCAGTTGGGTATCAAACCTGCAACCCAGGTACATGCCCTTGACCAGGAATCAAACCCGAGACCCTTTGGTCTGTGGGCCGATGCTCTAACTGCTGAGCCAAACCAGCCAGGGCTCAAGTCTACATTTCATTCATTCATTCATTCACTCATTCAACAGTATTTAAGAAATGCTTACTGTGTCCCAGGCCCTGTGCTAGGCAGTGTGAATGTAAGTAACTGTGGACAACACTGCCATGTAAAGTAATCTTCCAAGTGACTACTGTGCTAGGGCCTAATTTGGGTTTCATTATGTCATTTTTCTCCCTTCTGGGAATATCTAGCCCTCTCACTGAGAACATCCCTCTCTTCTTCCCTAAGGTTTGTGCAGTTCACAGAGAATTCATATTGAGATAGCTTTCACTCCTCTCCGATTATCCTGTGGGTGATTGATTACTTTTGTAACTTTATCCAGTATCCTTAAAACCACAGAGGCTCATCACCTGTAGAATTTCAGTTTTTTTTTTCCTCTTCACTGTCCCAGGGAAAGGGACAAGCAACACGAAGTGAGAAGCCACTGAGACTCAGTGACCCGATGGCCAGGAGTCCCCCACTGAAGGACATAGATTCATGAGTGGCTCAGATGTGTAATTAGGAGGTAGTGTCCTTCATCACCTACCTGCAATCTCTAATTAATTTTTTCCTCTGTTCAGTGATCCAAGACAAATATTTTTCCTGGAAAAGTGATAGAGAAGAGACATGCAAAATGACCAGCACTCAGCCAAGCTGCGAGCGAGGTAATTATGACAAGATACAAACTTTGTTTTCTGGTTACTAAGAGGAAAAGTAGACAAAGGAACCAAAAGGAGACTGTGGTGCTGGGGAAGGAATACCGGAGGAACATGGGGCGAGTAGAGGAGTGTCGCTGTGAATCCGTTCCAAAGTGACTTGATTCCGTGTAGAATCCAAGGGTATTAGCAAGAGGTGGCAGAGAGAGACTCTCTTCCCAGTAACCCGGAGGATGAATTATGAGTTTTCATAGGAGACCGTCAGTGTGAAGCTGTGAAGGGCTAAGAACTATGGGCCCATGGTCAACATCAACCTTGATGATGGACAAAGGGACAGATTTATTTTATTTTATTTTATTTTATTTTATTTTATTTTTTTATCCTCACCCGAGGATATTTTTCCATTTTTTGTACAGATAGAGTGGGAGGGAGAGAGAGGAAGGGAGAGAGAGAGAGAGAAACATCGATGTGAAGAGACACATCGAGTGGCTGCTACCGCACGACCAACCAGGGCCGGGGACAAACTGCAACCGAAGTACGTGCCCTTAGCGGGAACCGAACCCAGGTCTCTCCGGACCGCAGGCCGACGCTCTAACCGCTGAGCCAAACCGGCCAGGGCCAAAGGGACAGATTTAAATGTGGGTGATATTATTTAGGAGCAGAAATATCTCAAAAGAAAGACAATCATATAGAAAAAAAGGAGTAAGTATAGAGGTGTGGGGAAGGGGATGTGGGCACTCAGAGGGAGAGAAAGAAAGGGAAATGAAGAGTGAGAAGGGGTAAAAACACAATAAAAACAACAATGTCACTAAGAGCTCATTTGATTGAACATCTATTCTGGTAGTTGTGGGTTTAGTGCTCATAGCTACATTGAGAGGTTAGTATTACTATGTGCCTATTATGCAGATAAGAAAACTGAAATCTAGAGAGACCATGTATGTAGTTGGCCTGGGGTCAAATAAACAAGGATGAACCTGGGCATTCTGAACCCAGAGCCTGTGTTCTTTTTTCCTTTTTAAATGGAGGTAAATTACCCAGGCAGTGTGGCTCAATTGGTTAAACATCACCCCATGCCCCAAGAGGCTGCCAGTTTGATTCCTAGTCAGGGTACATGCTGGGTTTGGGGCTGGATCCCCAGTGGGGAGGGTGGGGAAAGGAGGCAGCCAATCAATGTTTCTATCTCTCTCTTTTTTTCCCTTCCTAAAAAAAAATAATAATAATAAAAACATTAAATGGAGGTAAAATTCACATAACATAAAAGCAACCATTTAAAAGTGTACACTGTTCAGCAACCAGAACCTCTATCTAGTTGCAAAAGAAGTTCCATCCCCTCAAAAGGAAACCTCTAAGCTGTCACTTCCCATTCCCCTCTTCCCACTGCCCAAAGATATTGATAGAACTAAAAGATGTATCTCTTAGTTTCTGTGGGCTGAGTGGGGGGAATCACAGAGCAGAGGGAACAGGAATGGAGCCGGACATACAGGGTGGGGGAGGTGCGGGGGGAGAGCTGGGAAGGAAAATGAAGACATCAAGGACTGAGCTGGAGAGCATCGCTGGAAGGGAGAGAGACAAACGCGTGACAGGAGGAGCCAGGGAGACACAAGCGGCTGGCGTCTAGGACGCAGACTCAGCTTTCCTAGGTCAGAAGCAGCAATGCCCGGAGAGTGCATCCTGGCAGAAAATTGAGAAGGGGAAAGAAGAGGTAGAGCGGGGCTTGGTTGGACTCCAGGCGGGGGTCCTTGGAGTGGGAGTGTGTCTTTACAAGGAACAGTTGACTTTGGTTTCAACCTCAGGGCTCAGTATGGCCACACACTAGTCTTTCCCGGCCACTGGCTCTGGTGTTTCCTTTCCTTTGATCTCTCTTTAGTGCCTGGTAAATCCAAAGCTCTTGGAATCAAAAAATAGAGAGAGCCAGAAGAGTTGCCTAGACTACAGCTGAATGGTGGACAAGGTAACTGTGATTGAATCTACATTTCAAATAACCAGTCACCTGGTTAAGTTATGTGGAGGGAGGAGGGACACACACACACACACACACACACACACACACACACGATCTTTGGCTACTTTCTAAGGTGTGAGGGAGGCAAGCAGGCTGAGGCATGTGGAAGGCTTAGGGTACATATATATATATACCCTCAATAAATGTCTTTATTTATTTATTTTAATTCGGGAGATAATTTTATTCAAGCTATGGTAATAAGAACATCCATTAATGAGGAACATTGCAAAGGAAAGGAGGAGGCCTGGGGTTTTATAGAGGCAGGTACACAAGGAAGTTATCTTAGAGTCCTGTGGGCATCATGAGGAAGGGTGGAGATGAGACTTCTTGCGGAAACTCTGAGGTCCTTTCAGATTAGTTGGTTTGTCATTCATTTCTGAAATACAGAAGTCGGGGTGGGGGCAGATTTCTAAACTATCACTGCTGAGGTTGCACAGGGCTCCAACAAAGTGCAGCCTCATCAGTGCCCCCTTTTTTCAAGATGAATATTGTTTGTCAGAGGTAAGCATAGACCTCCCAAGTGGGATGGAGCAGGGCCTGAGAAATAGTCTCTTCAGGATTCTTGCCGATGTTGCTCCTCTAAAACTATTTGAACCATCTATTGAGAGGTGGTGGCGAAGGTCAGTTGTGTTAGGGTCCTGGACATTAGACATCTTAAAAGATGGATGCCTAAAATAGAGAATAGTACAAAAGTTGTATTAAAGTCAAGAGCCAGAGTTGAACCTTGAGAATTGGCCAGTCCAGCCCTGGCCAGTGTGGCTTAGTTGGTTGGAGTGTTGTCCCGTGCACTGAAAGGTGGTGGGTTCGATTCCTGATCAGGGCACATACTCAGGTTGTGGGCTCCATCCAAGTTGGGGCATATACAAGAGGCCATTGATTGATGTTTCTCTCTCACGTCGATGTTTTTCTCCCTGTCTCTTTAAAAATCAATGAAAAACATGTCCTTGGGTGAGGATTTAAAAAAAGAGAGAGCCCTGGCCAGTTTGGCTCAGCGGTTAGAGAGTCGGCCTTCGGTCCGGAGAGACCCGGGTTCGGTTCCCGCTAAGGGCATGTACTTCGGTTGCAGTTTGTCCCCGGCCCTGGTTGGTCGTGCGGGTGGCAGCCACTCGATGTGTCCCTTCACATCGATGTTTCTCTCTCTCTCCCTTCCTCTCTCTCCCTCCCACTCTATCTGTACAAAAAATGGAAAAATATCCTCGGGTGAGGATAAAAAAACAAAACAAAACAAAAAAAAGAGAGAGAGAGAGAGAATTAACCAGTCCAGTGCTACCAGAGGCCAGCTCCAGGGAACTGTGTAGCACCTCCCTGAGCTCCATTTTACCCAAAGGGACAGGAGATCCAAACTGTTCCAGACTGGTGGAGGGTTGGCAGGGAGATAATTTTCGTATCCCACTTATCAGAAGTTGTCATGGAAATGTGCAAATAATATGTTTGATTGTCAGATTGGCACGTGGGAAAAGACAGTTGCGGAAGGCCTTTAGGGAGAAGGTAGGGGAAGTGTTCTAGGCAGCGGTTCTCAACCTGTGGGTCACGACCTCTTTGGGGGTCGAACGACCCTTTCACACCAGTCGCCTAAGACATAACAGTAGCAAAATTACAGTTATGAAGTGGCAACAACAATAATTTTATGGTTGGGGGTCGCCACAACATGTATTAAAGGGTCCCAGCATTAGGAAGGTTGAGAACCACTGTGTGGTATGGCTGAAGCCAAAGGAGAGGCCTGTAGTGACGAGGGAGAAGGGCAGTTCATAGGAACACATGACTGGAAGAGACGAGGCAGACAGATGGCCAAGGTCAACCCTGGAGAAACAGAGACAGAGGGGAGGAAGTGAGGCAGACAGCAGAGAGGAGATAAACTGACAAGGAACAGTGACAACAGTTACATGGAGAGAGAAGCATTGGGGGCAAAGTAAATACCAAGAAAAGAGAAAGTGGGGGAGAGGCATGAAGGAACCCTGGGGACAGAGTGTTTAAGGAGGGTGAACGGAAAGTGGTATAGGTAGGTCAGTGTGGCAGGGAGAGAGGGGACATGGAAACATTTAGAATATGAGGGAGGGTCACTGGACAAGCTGCTGGTACAGGGGGTTGTCCCCTTTAACAGTGAGTTTTCAAGGTAGTGTCCCCATTTTCCAAAGCGACATTTGTAACCTGTTCAGGTGAAATAAGCCTCTCTCCAGACCGTCCACCCATTCTGTCAATATTTATAGCCAACTGACCCCAATACTAATGGCCAGACCAGATCTGTCTTCTCAGCTTATCCATCTAGGAGCCCAAAGGACACCCCACTGGGTTAGCTTTCAGGAACCTCAGACTTTGTGCTTCCAAAACGGACCTCATCATCTTCTTCCGTGAAACCACATCCTCCTCCTCCTCCTCCTCTGCCAGTTTTCTCAGGCAGGAAACTCAGCGAAGACTCCCCTCGAGCCCTTTTCTCCCTGAACCCCCACAACCCATCGGTCACCCAGGCCTGTGACTTGATCTTGGCAGTATTTTCTTTTTTTTTTTTAGTTAAAAAAATTTTTTTTTCTTTATTGATTTTAGAGAGAAAGGAAGGGGGGGAGAGAGAGAGAGAGAGAGAGAGAAACATCGATGAGAGAGAACATTGATCGACCACCTCCTGCATGCCCTCCACTGGGGCTTGGGCCCACAACCTGGGCACGTGCCCTAACTGGTAATCAACTGGTGACCCCTTGGGGCATGGGTCGATGCTCAACCACTGAGCCACACCAGCCGGGCGCTGGTGGTATTTTCAACTTGAACATTTCTCCATTGCAAACGCCGTGATGTTAACCAGATCTCCGCCAGCTGCCCCGGACTGCAGTGGGTGGAGGTTGCAGAAGCATGGGTGTGTTCACGCCACTGCCCTATCTAAACCCCACGGGCGTTCACAACTGAATAAGTCGATCTCCTTCCTGAAGCTTCCAAGGACACAGGCCACAGGATCCCTGCGGTTTCTCTAGCCTCTATTCTCTCAGTCAAGTCTCACTCATGCTGATTTCTTTTATCTGCTTGAATCGCCTTTGCCCATGCTCTGTCCTCTATTTGTGTCTATTTGCCTTCTCCTCATACTCTCCCTCATCTGGCTCCCTCATGGTTACACCACAGGTCCTCCAGAAAACCATTTTCCGTTTCTTAGATGGGACGCGTTCTTCTGTCTGTCCCCGGAGCACTTAGTACAGGCTGTGGGATAACACTCACGCTTCATCATCATAAGGTAGTTTGTGCTGTCCTGGGTAGACCATGATCTCGAGGCAGGGCCCACGTCGGTCTTGTTCTTGCTGTGTCCGCTGACCTGAGCACGGTGACTGGCACCTAATAATAAGAGCTCAGTGAATATTTGTCAGGAAATGAAAGCGCTCGTATTTCTGTGCTCTAAAGGCTGAATGTATGCTTTGGCAAACTTCACATTACTGATGTATTTATATGGAAGTTTTATCAAGTAGGTCTCAAGATTGCATTTATGTCTACATGTAGTAAGTGAGCTACCTTTGTAGAAAAGAACGCAACTTACGAATAAACACAAAGCTGAGCCAAGATGATTATTGGCTGGTGAGTAAGAATAGCAGGCAAGGGGAAAGAGCAAAAACAAAAGGTAGAATTCAAGGTCAAAAGAAAAGCACTTGAGAAACGAAGAGAGACAGACACAAATGCAGAGCCAGCCGGGAGGCAGAAGGTGAGATTCAGCACGACAGTAACCTCTCAAGGGACGTGGGGAGAGGGGAGGAAAGGGTGCCAGAGGCTCTTTGAGGGGGACAGATGAAGCGTCTTCACCAATCATTATTTATTTCAGGGGCAGAGCTATCCACATACGAAAACCGAGTAGAGTCTTGTGCTGCGGGTCTGGTGGACATGCAGAAGACAATTTCATTGCGTCATCCCCAAATGCACCAAGCGGGCCAGCAAGCAAGGCCAGCAAGTGACCAAGCCCCTGAAATAATCGGTAAGGCTGGCTAAGGGAGTCTTGTCATACGATGACACTGTGTGTGTCACTGCAGAGGTGACAGGAGGTGGCCCAGGAAGCACGAGATGGGTACAAGAGAGAGAGAGACTCTGGTGCCCCGTGCAGGGAGCTTTTACCGAAAAGTGGAGGAAAAATGGACAAGAACTGGAAACCTGGGGGGGAGACTATGTAAGAGATGTACAGAGCAGCCAGCACCAGGGCACAAGGAGACAAAAGACACCTCACCAAGTGCTGGGAGAGGACATGCGGAGGTCAGGAGGACAGAGAGGTAGGCGCCACAAGAAAGAAGCGGAGGCAGAGAAATGGGGAGAGACAGCTGGAAGGGGAAGAAGAGATGAGCAGTCAGAAAATGGGGAGCAGGACGAGACAGCTGTCCACATGGTCCTCGGTCCTCACCCAGCGTCCTTGCGAGTGACGGCAGCACAGGGACCTGCAGGCCGCAGGACTCCGCGGGAAGATGGGGACCATTTGGAGCAGGGACATTCCTAGCTGGGAGTTCTGCCAGCTGCGTCGCTCCTGGTGTCCCTTGGTTACGGGGTTTCCTGCTGGCTCCTCGGCTCCACATTGCGACACCTCAGGGGTTTTGTTCCTTTGTGCAGAGATCAGCAGCAAATCCTGTGGGCAGGAAGCCCCCCCGGGAGCCCAGGGCTCAGCACCAAGATGTGGGCCTGGCGAGGAGAGTGAGGACTGCCAGCCGGGGGCTGCAGAGGCTCAGCTGTCTGGATGCAGAGTTCCTGTTTCTTGACGTGTTTCACTTGGAGCGCACTCCACTGCCAGGGTACCCCGAGCCCAAGAACCGTCCTGGGGACTGTGGGAGGCAACGCTCCCTTTATGGAGCATGTGTGTTCATCCAGTGACATCAGAGTAGAAACAAGCTAGCATGCCCATCGTGATATAATAAAAAATATGTATTTGGCCTGTCTCTAGTTCCTGGCACAGAGCTTCGAAAATCCTTAGATTTGCCCGAGTGATAATGGTGCCATTTTTTGGTGAGTTCTCTCTCTCATTTTCCTTTTTTGCTCAATCCTCCCACCCCCGCCAGAGCTGAATAGCAACTTTACAAATCCAACCAGCCCTGCCCAGTGTGGTTCAGTTGGTTGGAGCATTGTCCTATACACCAGAAGGTGGTGAGTTCGATTCCCGGTCAGGGCATATACCCAGGTTGCGGGTTTGATCCCTGGTTGGGGCGAGAGCAGGAGGCAACCGGTCCATGTTCTCTCTCACATTGATGTTTCTTTCTCTCTCTCCCTCCCTTCATCTCTCTGAAATAATAATAATAAAAAGATAAAAATAAAAACCAACCATGTGATTAAAGGATTAGAACTTTCAACTCTATTCCTTGACCTCTGGGGAGAAAAGAGGTGAAAAATGAAGTTCAGTCACCAATGGCCACTATTTAACCAATCAATCTGACATATTGAAACCTTGATAGAATCTCTTAAGCAGCATATAGACCAGTGGAACAGAACAGAGAACCCAGAAATGGACCCAAGGCAATATGCTCAATTATATTTGACAAAGGTGGCAAGAGCATACAGTAGAGTAAAGATAGCCTCTTTAATAAATGGTGTTGCAAAAATTGGACAGCTACATACAAAAAAATGAAACTAGACCATCAACTTACACCCTACACAAGAATAAACTCAAAATGGATGAAAGACTTAAATGTGACTCGTGAATCCATAAAAATTCTAGAAAATGTAGGCAACAAAATTTCAGACATCATACGCAGCAGAATTTTCACTGATACATCACCTAAGGCAACAGAAACAAAGGAGAAAATGTACATATGAGACTACATCAAACTCAAAAGCTTCTGCACAGCAAAAGATACAATCATCAAAATGGAAAGGCAACCCACTGTATGGGAGAGCATAATTGCCAATGATACATCAGATAAGGGGTTAATTTCCAATATATATAGAGTGCTCATACAGCTCAACAAAAGAAAGATATAGAATCCAAATAAAAAATGGGCAGAGGAACTAAATAGACACCTCTCCAAACAGGACATACAAATGGCTAAGAGACATATGAAGAAATGCTCAACATCACTAATCATCAGAGAGATGCAAATTAAAACAACAATGAGATATCACCTCACCCCTCTCAGAATGGCCACCATCAACAAATCATCAAACAGCAAGTATTGTCTAGGGTGTGGAGAAAAGGGGACTCTAGTACACTGCTAGTGGGAATGTAGACTGGTGCAGCCACTATGGAAAATAATAGGTTTTTACCTCAAAAAATTAAAAATTGAACTTCCATTTGATCTAGTGATCCCACTTCTAGGAATATACCCTAAGATGCCTGAAACATCAATCAGAAAGAATATATGTACCCCCATGTTCGTAGCAGCACTATTTACAATAGCTAAGATCTGGAAACAGCCCAAATGTCCATCAGTAGATGAATGGATAAAAAAGCGGTGGTACGTACACACAATGGAATACTATGCAGCTGTAAGAAAGAAAGATCTCTTATCCTTTGAGACGACATGGAGGGACCTGGAAAGTATTATCCTAAGCAAACCAAACCAAACAGAAAGACATGTATCATATGATCTCACTTATTTATGGAATATAATGAACAGAACAGTCTGAGGAATGGGGTAGTCCTAGAGACATGGAAGTGGGGTACAGATTAACAATCCCCAGAAGAGAGGGTGCGGGGGGAGAGATAAACCACAGAATTTATATGCATGTATGCAAGAATAATCGACATGGACAACAAAGCTGGGGACAGGGCGAGGAGGGAGGGGGAATCAGGAATCAGTGGGGGAAAAAGGAGAAACATCTGTAACAAAAATAAATAAATTAATTAAAAATAAATAAATAGAAGTTACTGTACATATTAAAAAAAAAAAAAAGAATCTCCTAAACAACGGCGCTCAGGAGCCTCTGCGTTGGTGAATATACTTGTGCTGGGAGGGTGGTGTGCTGGAGATGGCATGGATGGTCTGGGCCTCCCCCCTCCCAAACCTTGCCCTGTGCATCTCTTCCCTTTGGCTGTTTCTGAGTTGTATTCTTTACAGTGTAGAAACTATAATCTTAATAGAGCACATTCCCGAATTCTGTGAGTCTTTCTAGCCAATTGTTGAACCTAAGGGAGGAAGCTCTGGGAACCCCAAATTTGTAGTGTGACAAGTAGAAATGCGGGTAGTTTGGAGACCCCATTTGTGGCTGGTGTCTCAAGTGGGGGCAATGTTGGGGGACTGAATCCTTGACCTGTGTGGTCTGTGCTAGTTCTGGGAAGTTAGTATCGGAACTAAATTTTTGGCTATTAAATGTTTGGGCCTTTATAAATTGTAGGTTGTTAATCAAATCTATTGTAAAATTCTCCAAGATTGGCAGATTAAGGTCAATCAGGTTATTAAGATAAAAGACAATGAGGCAAAATGGATGACTGCGTGACCTGATTCTTTATTTGTGATTAATTAAGGCCCAACTTTGTGAAATGACCTGTTCATTTATAGATTTTTGTCTAGTAGAGATGCAAATTATTTGTTTGGTAGAAAGATAACCCCAAAGATTATAGTTTTATTGCCTTGAAGGCCATTAACTGGTTTTGGCTCTAATTTAGGAAACTTGTTTCAGTCAACATGACTTTCCTGGCTAATTTTATAAACTTTCTGTTTTTTCAGTTCTGTGTGGGTGGGTCACACACGTTACAATTAATAAGGACACTCACTAATTAATTCAGAGAACATTAGTGACAACTACTTGGAAACAAATGTTGGAAGAGAGAACCAGGAAGCTTCTAGCTCACCCAGAACTGGGTCGGGGAAGACATGCAGACCTTGGGTTGGAGGAGTCCAGGAGTCTGAATTCAGAGCAACTCCCTGAGGCTTTTTACTTAGAGCAGCAAACACACACAAACGAATCAATGACAGTCAACTCCCACTCTTCGCATTTCCTTTACTACCTGTGTAGAGACAAGAAGTCACAAATTCATATTTAGCAGAATGAGCATTATTGATTAAATAGATGTGCTCAGATTTCGATGTAGAAATATACTCACAAATGACATATGTTTGGTGACCTAGGGACATGCCTGTTAATATGGAGGGTTTTGAATTTATACAATGATTTCCACCAATTTTATTTCCACATCTTTATCTTTTATGGAGCACAGAATGCTAAGTGTTCCTCCCTAGGGTAGTAATAGTATCATTTGCTCAAAAACCTGGAAGAGCTTAGAAGTCCTGCTATATCATTATTTTAGAAGAGAAAGGATTCAAATCAGCCACTTGCAAAATCAAGTTTCAGATTTTTTTTTTCCATTTTTTTGTTCAAATAGAATGGGAGGATGGGAGAGAGAGAAACATTGATGTGAAAGGGACACATTGAGTGGCTGCCACCCGCACGACCCAACCAGGGCCGGGGACAAACTGCAACCGAGGTACGTGCCCTTAGCGAGAACCGAACCCGGGTCTCTCTGGACCTCAGGCCGATGCTCCAACCGCTGAGCCAAACCGGCCAGGGCCAAGTTTCAGATTTTGATGGATGTCCTTCAGCAGGTTGTCTTGAGTAAATCAGCCCGAGATACTGGGACAAACAAGTCTGTAGTCTGACAGTCAGATTTATTGACTCATGGCAACAAGGGAGAGGAACATACACCAGAGGAACCATGGGAAGTTTTGCCAAACGAAGAGACAGAGTTATTATAGCTTTTGGAAAGGGATGGAGTTTATGTCAAATTAATAAGGAGCAGTGATTTGCTAGGTTCAAAGCGAGCCCCAACTGTGTGTAAAGAGGTCAAGATCAAGTGTGCGTCAGGAAGTGGGCTCAAGGTCCTGTTTGCTAAAAGAAAACGTGGCACGTTGTGTTCAGAAATCCCTTATCAGATGCTCTGCAACTGGATTAAAAATCAAGGTTCCATCTCTATCAAAACAACAGACCCGCCCTGGCCGGTTTGGCTCAGCGGTTAGAGCGTCGGCCTGCGGTCCAGAGAGACCCGGGTTCGGTTCCCGCTAGGGGCGCATACCTCGGTTGCAGTTTGTCCCCGGCCCTGGTTGGTCTTGTGTCCCTTCATGTCGATGTTTCTCTCTCTCTCTCCCTCCCACTCTATCTGTACAAAAAATGGAAAAATATCCTCGGGTGAGGATAAAAAAACAAAAAAACAAAACAACAACAACAGACCCTCCAAGCAGGCATGAGATGCTTTATTCTTGTTGACATTTCAAACAGTGAGTTTCTGATAGTGTGTGCCTGTCAATGATCAAGTTCCTCAGTGAGGAAGGAAGCAGTAGTCATTCAAAGAAGGGTTGTTAGGACACGTGACAGACGCAGCAAGTTCTTAGGAAAAATGTTGTTTCCTATTAACTCTGTGGCTCGCTTTTGCCGATCTGTCTTTCCAGCCTCATGAATGGTAGGGCTGATATTTGCTTTCTCAGACCCAGATAATTTCTACTTTCCCAACATCATTGAGTATAGGGTAGTTTATCAAAGGATTTTGCAAACAATAAATAAATGAATAAAAAATCTCATATTAACTTTACAACAAGCATGTGATTCGAAGCAGTATGATGTTGATAGCCCTGTGTTATACAGGAGGACCCCAAGGCAGGTACATGTTTAAGGTTATCCCCTTTTCTCTTTTCTGCTAAATGGAGGATTGAAGAGCTAGAATTACCATCCTTGATTTCTAGAACTGAGTCCCACCGCTGTCTATTTTCTTGAGAAAGGTAGAGAGAAATGGTCCAATACATCTCAATCCTGACTGCGAATTGTGTGACGTGTCAAGACTTGCCATGTTATAACGTACAAATTACTGTTTCCTCTCATTGGGCTATCGATCTTGTGGATATTAGAAATATGTCTGCTCTGGACTTGAGGGTTAGGAAAAAAGATATGTCCAAATCAGGAGTCTTGATATACAAATGAGACTTAAAAATTTTTTTTCTACTAAACATTAAATCTAATTGTTTTTTAGATCATTCACAAATAACATGATACATTTTGAAGAGTCCAGATTAATCTTTTTTTAGCTAGTTAGGATAGGTTATCTACTAGATGAAATAGACCCTGAACATTTGTAATGGCTAACAGAAAAATTGTTTCTTGATGGTGGGAACAATCTATGGTATTTCAGGCCATGAGTAGGAGGAGGCGTATTGGGAGAGAGGACAGGGTGGCTGTGCCCCACC